CTTCGGAAATCCGAGGGCCTCGAAATCTATTAAATCAGCCCTCCTTCCCCGGATCCAGCAGAACTCGGTAGCGGCAATAACAGCAAACATCACAAGAATAACAACCCATTTTGATAATAAACAATCATAAATCATAATATACTAAAAATATAGAAACTTTTGAATTTTATAATACGCTAAAGATTATATTGTGACTGAAATTGAATTGGCTTATTACGTTCTTTGCAAGAGTACTAGGTTTCAAAAATATAAAATGGGGTACTTACTCCAGAAAAGTGCAATACTCCAGATGCTTCTAAAAATGTGAACGATGAAAATTCTTGATTCCCCAAAAAACGAAAGCATACGTACAGAGAGAAAGTAGAGCAACTTATATTAAAAAATCAAAATTGACAGAAGTGAGAGAGTTGTGAACTTCGTGCTCATCTTTTCTCCCTCAGCCACAAATACTGAGCGAAAGAGGCAACGAACACGTTCACGTTGTGAGGCTGTCCCGCAGTCTCACACTTAGACGGTCGTTCATAATCGTCCATGTCAACAAAACAAAGCATATCAACCTGAGCGACACGATTCACAGGTTTTCACGGCAACGTTCGTGCTCTAGGGCAACGAAACTCGTGTCTATAACAAACTGAAATACATTTTTTTTATTTATCAACTAAGACGTTCTCCATTTCACATTAAGGTGTTCGATTAGGGTATTTTGTATCTGAATTTATTGGTCTTATTTTTAATGATGAAGGAAACTTTAATTCCAATGAAAGGAATCATTTTCATCTTCGTGTTTGTTGTGGACTGAGGTTGGTTGGTTGGTTGTTAGTGATTCCAGGCGCGGCAAATACTGAGGTCATTAGTCCCGTAAGTGTAGTGCATTTCTCTCTCGTGAGGTGACGGTGATCTTCCCCCGCTGGATAGGGAGATCTGGTGCCGACCTACCGTCGACTAGCGGGGTTGCCCACAACCAGGTATCTCCCACCAGCGGGGCACCGTCCCAAGCTCTAAGCTCTCGACCGGTCTCCCGGCATGTGTAAGTAAGGGTAGTGTAAGTGGAAGTAAGGGGTGAGGATAGAACAAGGAAGAGGAAGGAAAGATCGCACGCGGTCCATGGCACGTTTGTTAGGGTATTGCTCCAGCATTCGCCAAATACTACGGAAAACTACCCATCAGAGCAACTGGCCTCTAGAATTCTCCTCCAAACACGAATTCGACCTGACACGCTAGTGACATTAGTTGATGCTCTGAGCCACCTCTCCCGGTTAGTGGCCTGAGCGGCCATAAAAGAGAGACTTCACTGTCCTTTACGTGCTGCTAATCCGATCATATGTAATACAGTTCAACAGCTATACAACTACGAAATATAAGGATTTCACCTAGAAAATTCAAGAGAAAAGGATATATTCCTGTTGAGACATGTGCTACAATGACAACTTCACGATATTTTTCAAGCTACGTCAAATTCTCCGACTTTTTCACTACTCCCTGGTTTTCCTGACAATTTCTTCCTTCCCCTTCCTTGCTCTGTATTCTCTAATGTTAAACGAATGCAAAATTGATACATATGTTATATTCTCACTATTGGATAAGTAGTTCTTACAAAACAGCCGATGCCTTTTGATTAAAACCAAAAGTTCCTGAATACAATGAAATTCGGAAAAGCGCATTTATCACACATGACACATAAGTGACCAAATTTGTTGGTTCAAATTCTTGGAATATTAAAGAACATCTGATATCTGGTATCATTGCATAATATTGCATGACGTAGAGTAAAGAAATCATTTTTGAAATGTGAAATTGGGACTACGTGGTCTACAGTGGTCACAACTTTCTTCCTTTCGTCCTTCCTTCCTTCTCCAAGCGCCGAGATTAAGATTTCTTGGCTTTGTTACTGAAGTACGTAGTTTCATTGGGTTTCTTTTTTTCTTGAATCTCGCTCTCTAGGAATTACAGGGCTTCTACGAAGCTTCTACGGGGTTCGTGACCACATCTTATCGACCTGGTCTCAAGGTTCCTTTCAGCACACGTGTTCTTTAAGTCTATCTTCATTTGCGATTCTTTAATTGTCCTATTATCTCTACAACTAACACTTAAATATTTTTAGTCACGGACTAGAATATTTAGAAAAGAAAAGACGTTCAATATACATTTATTTTTTAAAATAAAAGTAAATTATAGTACCGTAGTTTTTGTTATTACCTGAGGAGTCGCTTTTGGTTTAAGCGAAACAAGTGGCTGTCAGATTGCCTTTTGTATATTAAATCGCTGTTCGGATCGTAATTCAAGCGTGGGTATTTGCGGAAAATACAAGTCTGCAGTGGAATTTCTCAAGTTCTTCCCTTTTCCTTTGTTCCAAACTAACGTAAATATTATTGGTTCTCATAATTGCTGTTCTTCATTCATCCTAACCATGGCCAGGCCCCTTCACCTCCTCCTCCCCAATAAAATTTGGAAGCCCTCCCCCAAATTGGACAATAATAATTAAATAAATCAGAATATTTTAAATGAAACATTTGGAAAACAACGCAAGCTTTGATGGTAAATCACGTAGATTAGGATGATATCCAGAATATCCAGAAGCTACGGTGATAAATCACATTATCTTCTTCTTTCTAGGCCTTTTATCCAGCCGACAGCGGGTTACACTTTACGTCCGCCGGGACGCATTTCCGGCCATACACTAGACACCAACACTCTTGCAGGCTTCTCTGATCTGGGGTCAGCAGAATGCGAAGCCCTCCGCGACCACACATACATGAGAGACAAGGGACAAACAACCATGCCCAAGGCGGGAATCGAACGCGCGACCCTTCGAACTGAAGCGCTGAGTAGGCACATGTTCTTAGTTTAAATGTCACTTCCAGGCGCGCAATTCAAACCGACGCAACGGTGTCAACGGCGCCGGGCGTGCACTCGTTTCTTTGTTTTCGGTGAAACTGTCAATGAGGAATTGTCTGGGAGGTAACAATACCATACGATGGAGTACTTTATCAGTTTCAAGTGTTATATATATTCAATCAATCATGTTATCCATTCAATATTACAATCTATTAAAGCTACTGACAGTGCAGTTTTGCCCCATTTAAATCTCCGAATTTTTATCACCGAGTACGCGCGCCCTCTGCCAAAGACAGTCCTGCGTATCTCGTGGTCTTGACCATCGAACTATACATCGAACTATACAGTGTTGCGAGTGCTTAGCAATTCCGAAAGCCGAGTGCTGTAAATTCTAAAATAAATAAATGTTTAGTTAATTTGAAAAGGACAAAACGTAAATAGGAAGTGAAAAGACACAACAACATAGTGAAGATGGCGACCACACACTTTTGAAAATTAAAGTCAAACCCTAAAAATAAGACTATATGCCCCCTCCTATTTTTTTCAAGTTGGTGCTTGTGCTCATTCTTCAACAGCAACAAGACGACCCCATTTAGAAGAATAAAAATAATAAAGTGTTAAAGAAAGTATGGTGCCTTGATAAGAGTAGTTTACTCTATTCTTACAATTTAAAGAAAAACATTTGGAGCTGTTTTTGAGAAAATTTTGAAAATATCATGCAAATGTCTTCAAGCAAAGTACCCCCAAATTTTAAAGAATGTTTTCCAAAAGCTAAAAGCCAAATAATAACTCTGTAAAAATGGGAAGGTAAATTAAGTAAATAAAATATAAAAGGTTCAGTTTCAAGAAAGAGTCTGCTTCAAATCATAATTTTCAAATACTAAAAAGAATAATATTGGAACAAATCTCTCCAAATTAAAGTGGCAAAATTATGACTGAATGTGGAAAGATCGATTATTTATATATATTTATATTATACATTATAAATACAATATATAAATTATAAAGTATTCAGTAGTAATTCACAAGGTTTTTCAAGTGCTCTTGCACTAGTTGTATAAATACATAAACAAATATAAAAAGTTACCAGCAAATTTTCAAAATAAACCATCTTGTTGAGTGAAGGCACAAAATACTACAAGCATTATATCTGTTTGTATTTGATGATGAATTTTGATTCTATCTTTTGGTGACATTTCTTTGTTTTTAATAATGTTTAATGATTTATGGTTTAATATAAGGATGTGTGTTCATATATCCACTATAACTGGATTTTTTGTTTTCATCTGAGTGAACAAATTTTCAATAAATTTTGTATATGTATACAGTGCAACCTCTCTGAACGGATACCTCTCATGAGCAGACACCTCTTTGTAGCAGATCATTTTCTAAGTGCGGGGTGAAAACTCCTGTTCTTAAACACCTTGCTGTAGAGGATTTTTTTTTTCAATTTCAAGTGTGACTGTTTTAGAGAGACTGTCTCTGTATACCTATCTTCTCAATTAATGAAGATGATGTTGAAAAAGGAGAAAATATAAAAAAGTTAAAAGAAATGAGAAAGAACTGATGAAAAAAGAATACACGCAGATTATAATTGCCGCTCCTTTGAATAATGTTCCATATTATGATATTACGTATGTACATATGTACATAGCCTGGCAGCATAGTTCAGTAGACAGATTGCTCACTTTCCATGACACGAGTCAGGGTTTGATTCCCGGTCAGGCAAGATCTTTCCTTGCCTTTCCCAAAAAATAGTGTGTGTTTTTGTCCCAGTATATGTTGCTGTGTGATGATGAGAAAATTCCCTTCTCAGGTTGAGAAGGCAAAAATATGGCATGGAAATGTCTTTGTGCCAACGACACGTACCCCCTTAACCGTTGGCTTTAAGGCCGGGATGCAGCTAGTCGACCATGCATGGGCCGTGCCATACATGGGCCGACACATAAAGTACAAACACAAACATATACTTACATGTATGTACACATATGTACTACATATATGTACACACAAGGCTTGATTTCTAGCAGTACATTCATATTAAATTAACAATTAATTTGGAACAAGTTCCAGTACCTAACATTTTACAAATCAAGCACTGTGTACACATTTATGTACATATTATTATAGCTATTGTATTCTTGCTTTTCTTGTGCAGAACTTACCTCCAAAACCGTCAGTGAAATCAGTATTATTCCGGACACTATGTTTCTTATGTGTTCGTTGCAATGTGTCTTCAAACACTTCTACAGCCTTGTTAAGAGCATCATCTTGAATAAATTCAAGTGATACAGGTGATGTTGTTTCTTCTTGAGGCACCTGTCAAAAAATCAATTACAAGTATAAATAAATGCGTCATTAAAAGAAGTCAAGTAAACTTAAGTTTCATTATACAAAATACTTTAACCAATATCGCTACTTTCCACAAGTAACTTATAAGGGGTAGTAATGCCTATTAATCATTCTATTTATTGACTGAACCTTGTTGCCACCTTGCTCTTCCATTGACCCAGAGAGAAAAATATTAACAACTTTTCTAAGGTTGCAACTAATTCAAACTAAACATTATTTATTTCCCATGCTTTTAAAAATACATATTCTGTACACATAACTAAATCACAAAGATCTTGTGCAAGGAGAATTTATTCTTATTCTTATAATTTGTTGGATATAATAGTCATAAGGTAGTGCCAACAACTCTTCCTTGAATTGTCCAAAACTATTCAGTTATAACAAAAAAGCGTAGTTGGAATAAAAACATGTTATTCATTGTTCCATAAAAATGATGAGAAAATGCAACCACAACAGTCATATCTAGAAAGAAGTGAGCTCGAGAGAAATTGCATCTAAAAGACTCACTGTAGCAGAGGTAAAACAGTGCAAAAGGAGAGCAATGGAGAGTTAAAGTGCAAGGAATGATAGAAAAAGAAAGAAGAAAATTTTCTTCACGCAATAAATTAAAGGAAACGTTAATACCACAAATAATTCAAAAATAGATTTAATTAAGTGAAACTGAAATCATTTTGCTGTTCCATAGTAGTGTAAGGGCTGTAGGTTACTGAGATTGGTGAATATAACCTTGTCAAGAAAGGGGTTCTTCACCATTTGGGATACTCTCAGTAGCTGGTGCCCCATTAATAGAACCAAGGAGAAGTAGAAAGCAAGGTCTCATACTCCCACCCCACCCTCTTATGATATATTTAGTTGTGAAGTACTATCTCAAGTTTAAATATTTGTTAAGTAGATAATATTTTGAAAGAATGTACATATTCTCTTGTTTGGACTTGCTGCGAGTGGCACAAATAAAATCTGAGTAGCCTTTAACAAAAAGGCTTATTGCAAAAGATGTAAAAAAATTGCTGATTATTCATCACCACAATAAGAGCTGATATTTTGTTATAACATAAGTAGGAAGGACAAAGAAATCTTAGCATGTTTTTACCAAAAAATTATTTTGAAACATTAAATTAAATACTTATTAATATTGTTTTATGTTAAAAAATTAAATTTTCATTAACTTGATTTTTGAATATTTTAATTTATTAGAAATAGGAAATCTATTTCCTATTAGAAATAGGAAAAAAGAAAAAAAAGGAATGAAACAAATATAGATTGCATTCTGACACCAATACAATTAAAGTATTTTTTAGAAAAACAACCTTTAGCCCAAAAAGAGAAGTTTTGAGATATTAGAATTAATGATAAAGCTTCACAGTTGCCATTTGTTGATTGTGTTGTAAACAAAATCAGCCCCTATCCGTAGTTATTAGCTCTGAAAGTTTGAGTGATTTTGATAAAAGAACCATGGTCATGAGACTTTTTTGGTAAAAAGACCATAGACCTTTATATGTAAGTTTTCTCTGCGTTTGTTTCTGAAGTATAGCTTGTCTCAATCTGCAATGGGTGATAATGTTTGTTTTGTGAATGTGGTTATTCTGTGTAACCAGTATTTTTGTTCTGGAAGTTTGGTGATAGTGTAGTGTAGTAATAACCTGTTTTTGTGGCATACATGACCTTTGAGTTGTGAATATGAGCAAGAACGGGAGACAGTAACAGCTAAGAAATGGATTCTCTGACAGATGTAGAAAGAAAAGAGTGGAAGAAAATTAAAACAAAGAAAGAGAGGAAAGAGGATGTAGTAAGGTTGAAAGAGAAGCACATTTTAATCACAAAGGAATCTTCATAAGATATCTAAATATTTACAGACACCTGGTAACAGAGATTTGTATCTAAATGTGTCATCAGGGGCAGATGCTAATGTGAGAAACGAAAACACAAATAATGATGATAACAGCAGTGGTGAAGAGCAATAAGTTAGTTAATAATATTCCAAATTAATTAAGTGCATTAACTTCTTGCATTATTCCTTCAAATATTGTATTATTACTGCCCCAATAAGTAATTTTGATATTCAAATTTTTCAAATTTTTGAAAAAACCACCATAGTGCACACACCTCATTTTATCCAATAACTTCCGCAATAGAGTTCAATGTTGAACTACACTCAGTGTTCATCAGTGTGAATAATAGCTTGAGAAAGTGCAGAACAACTTCAGAGTCAGTTTAACATAAATGTTTGTCATAGCATGTGCCACAAGCTTTTTAAGTCCTCATGCTTTTGTAACTTTTTGGAAATGTTACAGAAATTATTTCACAAAATAATTGGAAATAGAAATAAGTAGTTTATATTGTTTATTTAACTCATTGCCAGATTTAAACCAAAAATATGAGTAGCACCATAGAGTTTGTGTATTTAATCATAAACGTTTTCAGAACAGTCCACAACGTCTCAAAATTCCTAAGTTCAATTGAGACCATAACACTGAATTTCAAAAAACCCTTTTAATAAAATTATATTCATAATAAACTGTGTAAACAGTATTCAAGTGACTCGCTAAACATTTTTCAATTCAAGAAAGATTTGTGCAGGTAAGTTGCAATCAGTGGTCAAATAAAGTGTCAGTGAATTTCAAATATTTTTAAAGCATGTCAAATTAATTTGGATTTCTTATATGACAAAATAAGTAGTGAAGTCATTATAGATAGGATGCTTCATCAGTTTCCTAATTTATTGAATCAAGATTTGTTATTCTCATACAACGGACAATTCTATAAAATCATTTAAGGTATTCAAAACTTGTTTACAAATTCAATAATAAAAATAAAATTAAAGATTTACAATTGCGATGATACTTCATGACTGCTGTATACAGTACCCTACACATTATATATTTATGCCCAGTAAGACAATATATCATTTACACACATTAAAAAAATTGAATTTCAAAAAATAATAGTTGATTTTGCAGCTGGTAAATCGAGGTAAAGCATTTCTCTCTAATGTGTAACTTCAAATTATACTTTCTGAGAGGTTGTATTGAGAATATGTATTACTGTTTTTTATATGTGAGCCATTGATTAAAAAAAACAATTCATATAAAATTGTTAAAATATTATTTTTTATTTGAAATTACTATTAGTACTTTATGCAATAAAGTTTGTAATATTTTTCCTCTTAATTTCCAATTATATTTATTCAGGAAAATGGTACGTCTGTTGCAAGTTATTATTCATTACTTGCTTGGTCTTACTTTCTCTCTTTCTGTCTTTCATTTGACATCTTAATTTTGTTACATATAGAATCATGAGGAGCAGTGGTGGATCCAGAATTATTTCAAGGGTGTCAGTTTAACCCCCACAAAAAAAAAAAAAAATTAAATAATAATTTTTTAACTGCCTTAGAAGTGAAGATATGTATATACAGTAATTATTATAAATTAATTGGTCAACATGCTCTGTAGCCTCCCTTTGAATTCACTACTGCCGAGGGGCCCCACAGTTTAATGCCATGGGTCTCAGTGAACCTTAAATAGCCCTGCAATGCATGCAATGGAATTTTCTACATCAGTTGAGTAAAAAGGCCCAGTTAATAGTTTTTAACACTTTTTTGTAGCATTTAAATTCAAAAAAATTATTAATCATTATGAATCATTCATTGAAGCCCATTTATATGAATTTCACAGAACAAAGAAAAATTTGATATGGCTTAAACAATAAAAAAAAATTAAAAGTGACTTCTGATTTAATATCCAATATTTTTCCCACGTTAAACACTCGCTACTTATTAATACTTAATAGGGCAATTTTGTTGAGCTATTCCAAGAGCCAAGAAAAAATATAGGAATATAATTTATATTTGTTATTTTGAAATCATTAAAAACCATTCTACCTCGATTTGAATTTTATTACATAACAGAGAACTTCACATATTGAGATCTTAGAGACTTATTTAAGGATTATTAAATTTGTAATTTGTTGATGCACAAAATAAATTACTAAATGTTACTTTAGCTTTTCTTCATTGCATTTTCCAACTCTTTTCATTTAATTTATAAACAGAATAACTGTTACTATACGTGCTTCTGTAAGACAGAATTGAATTTGTAATTTTTTTTTTTTTCAATTCTATGGAAAAGAAATAGAGAATATGTCATTTGTCTGTGCAAAATTGAATGTGCGAATTTTTATATTGTAATACTAATCCCATATTTATATATTTATATCAATGAATAATAGTCACTGTGCACCGGGGTCTCTGTGAGATTGCACAAATGCATATCTTCCTGCACATGAACAATTGGCAAGGCAATGTAGATCAATGTTTTGTATGTGTATATTCAGTATAGATTCTAATGTGTTCACGGGTGGATGGTCATCCACCTGTAACTTGAAACAAATTGATTGAATAGAAACTAAACTCACTGATTCATTAAACATTTCACGACATTTCACAGAGACACTTTGAAACATGTAATTCTGATAGCAAATCAACATACTTTCATTCAACAATATTTGAAATAAGTCAATTTCGTGAAATTGTTGTATATGTCCATAATTTTTAGTTCAAATAAACCCCTTTAACACACATACTTTCACTGTTTCAGCACTTTTTGCCCATGCATAATAATAAAATAGTGCTACAACATAATACAGATTTTCTCATTTTATTTACAACAGTTATGTAAATGCAGTAGCAACTCATATCTTCCGAGAACTAATGCTCTTTACTTAATGTCTTTTTTTTAATGTAAACCAATGAATTAATCCCTGAAAAGTTCATACAAGAATCATTTCCCTCTTTCTTTCAATTAGTGTTTTTAGTATTTTTTTACAATATTTTTGTAAACATGTATCATGCTATTTCTCTGTAATGTAATGCAAATAGTAATATTGTTTGATATTGTAAAAGTTGTGGGTCAAATAGATGTTTATGTGATTATGAATAAATAAATAAAATATGAATTAATTTCTCTCTGATAGGTTAGATTGTATTCTACTGAAATCTGTACATGTACTGTAAAATTTACAATCAGAATGGCACTATAAGTTATGGGTTTCATCCATAACAATGAACCTCCAAATTGGAATTTTTCTTGAAACCGTTGTTAGAGTCCCTTTTTACTAATATATCATATTTTATGTATAGCTTGTACATTGCTCTTGTCTCTGAATTTATTCATAGCACTTGGGCAAAACTATAGGAATAACCACTTCTTCTGAAGAGATAGAACAGGTGACACATGCAGTTAATGATAATGAATATTCATTATATTTTTTTTTATTATGATGGTAGTTTCTTTACAAAAAATCTCCACAGATATAACAAATAATTTTGGGTGAATTCCAGCTTCTTGCTGGCTTCTTATTAATAAATTACATTCACTTTAATTAATAAATGACAAACGAAAAAGCAATTTGTTGAGATTTTAATTTACAGTTAAAAAGAAGGAAAGCAACATTTAGCTCTGCAATATAAAATATTTCTAGATTCAGCTCTGAAGAAGATAAATTCAGTAGTTTTGTAGATGTAAAAACAACAATGCATGATTTATTAAGTGAGAATTATTTTATTGTTGTCAAATAGAACAAAGATAAAAGATACTCTGATATGGTTTTAAAATTTAGCAAGCATTAAATATGAAAAACTATATTGTGAAAAATGGTGGGTTTCAAAAAATTTTTGCACAGCATACTTGTGTAATTGGATAATTTTCTGGGCAATTCAGATAACTCAGTAAGAATCATATACTTCATACTTTAATAGTATTTTTTTTACAAAACTTTTGCAGCTTTTAATCAAAAGTGCATAAAAAGGTGTTGATATGAAACAATCTCTATGAATTTGTTATTAATGATGTCCACTAACTACATTAAGTCAGAATTCTGAAAACCATAGTTTTTAAGTTCAAGAAAATGCAATAATTTAATTTAGGAAAATCATTTCTATGTTTTCTTATTTACAATAATAGAAGAGCCATGGGGGAGGATTGTGGAAAACAGAATTAAGTTTTGAGTGACTGATGGTGAGATTGGTAAGGAATGAAGAATACAATGGAGTGTGAAATTCAAATTAAAAGGTATGGAGAAGGTGACTACCTATAAAGAACCCCTCAAACACTTGAAAGAAGAAAATATGGAAGGTAAAGAAAAAAAAGAGACCTTTAAAGAATTCTTAAAATATTACTTCACTAATGTGAATTGATGTTGATAATTGTTAATGTGTTAATTTATTTGATACGAGTTGTTTTTGTTAATGTTAAAAATCATTCATTTTATTTAAAAAAATGATATTACATAGATATTTTACAGACTACAAGTAATGTAAATAATTCATATTACATCATATTATGTTACCTCAGGTAACTGTTGTTCAATTGTCCATAGTGATGGGCTGGTGAGGCCCAATAACACTTCCATAGAATGCCTTGCTCGTCGGCGCTCACGACGCCGTTGCTTAGATGATGATACTTCATTGCCATTTGACAATGCTTCACAGTATCGAACAAAGTCAAGGTCGATATGATATCCATAAGGACAGCAGGTGCAGGGTTGATACCTGTCAACTTCAAATTCTCGAAGTTGGGGTACATATACAAGACCTGTGAATAAAAAAACACATCATATTAAGTTTTTATAATGAAAACTACCCAAACTTTATTTACAATTTATGGCACTATTATATTAATACATTTTAAAATTCAATGCTGAAATTAATTCAATTTCAGTATGTAACAATAATTATGAACTATGGTTTTTACTGCCTTGAATTACAATGTCACGATTTATGTCTGTTAGTATCAACATATTTTCTTTGTATACTTGTGCATTCTTCATTTTGCATTAAAATGAATAAAAATTATGAGGATGTTTGGCAGAATTATCATTTCATTTTGAAGGCATAAGCTTAGAGTACAAGGTTTCCATTTTTAAGTACTGCATTGAAGTTACATTATTTTGATAAAAGTAAAAATTACACAAATTATTATAGTTTAAGAAATATCTGTAATTAAGGTTTTGAACAGTTGAAAGTTCATTTATCGGATGCTTTCACTAAAAGTTAAGCGATTTGGATAGCGACTTTTAAGCGTTCCTTGTGCAATCCCAGGGCGAAGTTTCCTTCAAACAATTGGAACCATTTTGAGAATTTTTGGAAATTGTTGAGGCTTCTTGTAAAATACTTTGAAAACTCAAAATAACCTATTCAAACTTGCAGTTTGTTTTAGGCGATCGAGGAATATCAATTTCGGAGAAAATCAGCTGAACGGTTTAGGCGCTAGCGCTGAACACGGACGGACGCTTTTTTTGTTAATCGATTTTAAGGAATCAAGGACCCACAATACATGGATTCTTACTACACATCGTATTAGGGGAGGTAATTTACAATATAAAGAAACGACTTTTTCGTTAGCAGGGCACCGCAATGACATTTTTCTGTTGAAAATTCGCCGTTTTGCGGCGCATGATTAAAATACTTTCACTTTTTCGTCCTTAGTTCGTAAGAAGAGAAACATTTTGTTCGATCATTTGAAAACCTCAAAATTGAAGATAAAAAATGTTTGCTTTAAATAAAATCCGTTAAAAAAAACAGTTCTTTAAAAAGGGCCATGTACATTTTTTAAAATGAGCAGATTTCACGTAATTTGAGCCTTGAATACATGCAATTTTTAAAAAAAATAAACATTTATTCAAAACCGGCTTCAAATTTTTTCCGATTTTTCCCCCCCTCAGATAGAACGAGGTACGGTTGAAAGAATGACGTATGTCTCATTTTCATTGAGCTCTCTGAATTTTTGAAAATTGTAAAGTTAGAAATAATGCGAATAAAGTATGCTGTTGTAGCACCACCAGTTCTAAGAACGTGTATCCGTCCTACCGGCTGGAAAACAATGCAGCGCTTAAACCGTTATTTTCTTCAAAATGGATATTAATATTCGAGAGGACGCGACATCTGCCAAATCGAGATCGTAATCAATTTGGGACATATCGCGGGCCCTTGAATTGGAAACGAATATTTTAATTTTGTGAATATTCCACTTGTTTTATTCAAATCTGCAATGATGATATTCCTTAACTATTATAAAATGAGCAATTATTATTGTATTAAGATCGACAATATTAGTTTTTGACCGAAGAGCCTACATCTTATGACAGCCATGAATTACTGAACAATTTGCAACATTACTTGCATCTACAGTAATTGTCTCCACAAAATATTGTTGAACCAACAACCAAAATATTATGAAACCATCGACATTTGTTTTGTTATTTATTAAAAACGGCGAGAACACCAAATAATATTTACACTTATTTAACCAATTTATTAGGACAGTCAAAATATTAAAAGCAACTGAAGTGTGATAAACCTTTTCCACCTAGACACTTTTGCCATGACTATCCCACTCGTGAAATTAAAAACCAATAGATTTTAACTATACATACGATCAGGGCGGCGTGTCTCAAAAAGTTTATCGCTTTTTCTATCCGATTTTACTTACGTTTTCTCCCTACTGGCCAATCATAAGCTGTGACTCATCTATCTTAGGCGGCAGTATACTGCATCGATCGCTGTGTCGCATGTTATTTTAATATAGCTTTCAGTTATTTTCAATATTTGGGGCATTTTGGAATTCTGATAGAGATAATTTCACTCATGAAATATACCTCTTAAATACCACTCGTGTTTTCGAAATTCTCAGGTACATCCCCTCCTCTCTTCGCTAGTCGGGAATTTATCCATAATTTCCAAAGCACCCGTGGTATTACCGTGGTGTAATTTCGCATTTTATATCTAAAATATTTTGAATTTTTTACTTCGTCTATCAATATTTCCATACAAATACAATTTATATATTAAAGCTCATGGTGTCCAACGCCGTCCACCACTTGTGTGAAGAGATCTAGTATGCACCGATGGCACAGAACGTGAAAGCGGATGTCCGTCGCACAGGTTCTTCCGTGGGAAAATCTCGCCGAGCCAATGCAGGTCAACGAACTGCCGTTCCAGCAACATCGTCGCATCATAAGAGTCCAGTGGCCCTAACGATATACAACGATGTGTTCTACACTGACCTCTTAAAGCCTAAGAGGTGTTTTTCTTCTCAGTAATGTTTATTAGGAACGGACATTATTCCTAAGCAAAAAGGCTCCGAATCTAATTTAGAAATAGTCAACAATTACCAAAGAAGAAGACGCTTCTCCTGACTTAAATAGAACTACATTTACTAAAATGTTCACAGACAAAAGTTTTAGATTCTTATATACCTTTTCAGCTTATGAGATCAGTATATCTGCAGCCTTCCAGAGCCGGCCTCGGTGGCTGAGTGGCTTCAAGCAGAATTTTTATAAACAGCGCACAAAGCTGCGGGTTCAAATCCGGTGTAAGGTGTGGAAATTTTCCCTGAGGTGTTAGAATTTTTTATCTTTTCGTACTGGCACGTGTACCATCTGAACATGATCATAATTCATCATAATTCTCTCAGCATTCACCTTTCATGATCGTGATTGATTGATTGTTAGTGGTTCCGGACGCGTCAACTGGTAAAGTCATTAGTCCCGTAAGTACAGTGCATGTTCCTCGTGAGGTGAAGGTGATATTCCCCAGCTGGATGGCGAGATCCGGCGCCGACCTATCGAAGCTTGGGGGGGGGGTCACCAAGCAGATATCTCCAACCAGCGGCACACCGCCCCAGCCGGGACAAGCTCTAAGCTCTCGACCGGTCTCCCGGCATGTGTGGTAGTGTAGTGTATGTTAGTGTAAGTGTAAGTAAGGGGTGAGGTTACGACAAGGATGAGGAAGGAAAGATCGCGTTCGGTCCGTGGCCTATTTGTTAGGGTACTGCTTCGGCATTCGCTTGGTGTTGATCGGAGCAACCTCGGAAAACTACCGATCAGAGCAGCGAGCCGCCAGAATTTTCCTCCAGATAGCGACTGAATTCGACCCAGCTGACAAGCTAGTGTCGAAAGTCTAACTACCGTCGGGGACTCGAACCTAGGACCTCCCGTTCAGAGGCACTGCAGTGACATCAGTTGATACTCTGAGCCACCTCTCTCGATTTCATGATCTTACAGGGCCGGGAGGAGAACAGGGAAGATAACTATTCCTGGATGTTCTTATTGGATATTGTAAATTCATTACAATCCTAGAAGAAAATACGCAAAACCCAGAGGATTTGAGACGTGATATTTCTGTTTAAAACTGGCATGAAATTGTGGAAAATCAAGTGCCCTCCGACCGCCAAAAAGAATTATTGTGGGCACGTGTTGAGCAGTGCGAGAGAGTAGTACTTTGAAAAGTAACCGACAAATATTTTATAGTTTCAAAGGCATTGAGAGGTAAAATTAATGTTCACATTTTCTGCAATAATATCTTCTTTTCAAAGGAGCAAAGTCATTTTAAAACCTCCTTCGGTACAATTCGCTTCTCGGCGTTGGGCTGCGGCTTATGCTAATAGTAGACTGCCCGGAGTTGTGCCCTCTGTCCCCAAGCAGAAAAATAAAGACGAAATTATAAATCTGATGTTGCCCTCGGCATACTTTTCTCCAGACAAACAATTAATATTCGAAGGGTTATGAAACGTTACACATTCACGAAAGTAAATCGTAGGTATTATGACAATATCTGAACTCATTAATCTCTTACTCAATTCATAAGAATTTAGTTAGGTAAAACGTTGCGAATAAACAACTTTTCCTACGTTAAAACGGATTCTTCTCCCCTACCCCTTAATAATAAAAAAATTAGTCATTGACTTCATAATAATACCCTTGTCAAATATTTTGACTTCATAGAGACACAATATTCACCTGGCAAATACATGACAACGTTCACACCAAAATATTAAAATTGCTTCATTTATAAACAAAAAGTTTCAATTATATATAAATTCAGATTCAATAATTTGTAAATATGTAGTTGTATTTCTATCAACATAAATATGTTTCATACGTACGGGGAGGTACTTCTGGAAAAAATCTTAAAAAATTGGAAAACAATATTTGCGACAATTTTTAAAGGCATCATAGTTCGAAAGAAATAAGCAAATTTTAAAAGAATTGTCAATAGATACTTTATATTTTTGCATTCTTAAATTTTCATATATTTTTCATTCTTTTACTACATCTTGTCCGGCCACACACATTTACACTCTTGGCAAATCAGTAAATATTTTTCTAAGTATTAAACCTAGATATTCTAAAGACTTTCTATATATTCCATAATTTCCTAAGTAATATTTTCAACTATTTACTTATTCTCAATTAATAATATCACACTCACACACACATTCATTAACTAGTATGTTTTTTAAATCAATCATAATATTTTACTGAAGGACCCTTGCTTAGTTTCTAATATCTATGTATTATATTTTAAAGATTCTTATTTTGAATTGTACTTTATATAACTTTTTCAAAAATTGTGCTGTATAACTGCAATTCAATCCCTTGCAAGGCATATATACTCGTATGTCGAACATGTAAATCCTCTCTACACAGGATGCCTCATAACAAATTTGTACAAACTTCAAGGGCATGAAGAAGGGTCGAAAATATTTACTTTTGCCAACAAGTAGTGGAAAACTTCATTTAATGTAGTTACATAC